TCTGATTTTCTAATGTTTTTGGATTTTCTTAAATTTTCTAATTTTTGTATTATTTCTCCCCCTAAATTTGTGCATAGGAGAGAAATGAAAGTAAATGCACATATTTAAACTATCCTAAAACAAAAATTAGTCTTTAAAGCGAATCAGCTTAAGAAAAACTCAGGAGTATAGAGAGGAAAACTCAAACCGTAAGTCACCGATTGAATTTGCATCCAGAAGGTCTGAGAACAACACGCGTAATCTCAGAACAGATCCGAAAATTCTTCATGTCATTAAGCACTAACCCCATTTGTGATCTCTTCCTTTCTTCCTTTCCCGAAAAGGACACATACTCCCAAAGAATGTTCTGAGTGTTGTACAGTTGAGAGATGTCTCCTATCATGTGCCAGGAACAGCCACTACCAACAAACCGAAGTCTGATGATATGCCTCCATAGCTGCTCCGACATAGAGCGGGATCAGTTGGTCTTTGGAACTCGGTCCATTTTGAAACTGGGTCGACCTTTGTCATCCTTGCATGGTACTCTCTCCCATGACATATCCTGTTTATCACAAACAAAAGATGAAGAAATATTAGAGTCATTAGTTGATTTGGGAGAGTGAGCCTTTGGAACCCATTTGTAGTTGGGTTTAACCCATTTCTTTTTCGATCTGATGGGTGGCTCGGTACTTGATTTTGAACTTGATGTCGGCCGTTGAGATGACTTTGATTTTGGCTTCACGGGAGCATCTCTTGGATTTGGCTTCTTGGCCGGCATTCCCTTTTTGTTCTTGGGATTCAGATTCTTGGCCTTGTAGGTTTGATTCTTGGCCTTCTGCGCGTTCCAGTCACCATGGTCTGAACGTGACCTTGAGGGGTTTCTTTTGAAGTATCTCCCTCTTGGCACGTTCTGCCAGCCTTGTGCATAGTAGGGAACATATGCGCGATTAGGACAATTTCTGGCAATGTGTCCAGGTGTTCCACAGTGAAAACATGTCTTTTTCTTCACTGTGAAGTTGTTTCTTCCTGCCCATGGTGGCGTATCTTTGCCTTGTCGTTGGTTGTTCCCACATGCATAATTACAACAGGCACTCTGTTTCAATGGAATTGGTGGCCTGTATTTCTCAACAGCAGGTTGATCAGAAGCAACTGAGTTCGAAGCAACAGATTCAGATCTCAAGGAGATGTTGGTTTGTTCAGTAGTGTTCTCCTTGTTCTCATCTTCTGTTACTTTACCTGCACATGAAGTAGAAGCATTAGAATTTTCAACCTGAATACCTCCTGAAACAAAAACCAGCTGGTTTGCCATATTGAAGATGTGCCTCCCTGTCAATTTCTTCCTGTTTCGTAGGGATGCATGTGTAGTTATGATTGAAAGGTGGAGGAACACTATCATACCTTAGACCCTTGTTTTGATTATCTTTGAATTTTAATTGAGTTTCAAATAAGGACTCGACTGTCTTACTTGACGCAGTATAATTTTTGAAACTAACATCTGTTTTTCCACACTTAATTTTCAAAGCGTCAAGTTCTTCAGTTACAACATCAAGTTGTCTCTTAATATAGTCATACTTTTCACACTTGTTGCTGAATTCTTCCTGAAGCTTCATAAAGTCCTTTATTTTTGTTTCTAACTGGGCCTTTAGGGGTTTCTGTCCTTTCCTGAGTTGATAACCTTCATATCTCAGGTCCTCAACTTCTCTTTTTAATAAATCATTATGTTCACGAAGAAGTTTAATCGTAGCTTCACATGATTGAGAACATGAAACTTCATTGACCGGAAGGTTTGCGGAACACATTGTTTTTCCACACTTTAAAGCGTCAATTTCTTCAATTATATCAGCAAGACTAAGACGATTGAGATCTTTTGTCTTCTTGATGATAGACACGTTCTTATCCCATGATTTCGGAAGTGAATTCAACAGCTTTTTGTTTATCTCAGATTTAGTCAAGAAAATCCCAGCTATATTCATCTCAGTAGTAAGTGTAGTAAATCGTTTCAACTGAGCTTCCAGGGTTTCTCCAGGGATATAATCGAACATGTTGAAATTTTGTCTTAACATATCCTGACGACTCTCTTTCATGTTCTCAAAAACCATTAAAAGCACAACTAGAAGTCAAACTTAAATTTAAAAATGCCCTTTGACTAAAAAGACTCAAAAGTCAACCTCAAAAGTCAAATTTAAAAGTCAAACTCAAAAGTCAAACTTGAAAAGTCAAACCGAAAAGCTAAATTTGAAAATTTAAAAGTTAAACGAGAAAGTCAAAGTTTAAAGTCAAAGGTCAAACTTTAAAAGTCAAAGTCAAAATTTTAAGTAAAAAGTTCAAAATTAAAAGTCAAAAATTAAAATCTAAATTTTTGGTTGAAATTGGAATTTAAAATGAAAAGAAATTGAATTTTGGGCTGAAATTGACAAAAATCCGAAAGTTGGTGCGAATGGCAATGTATTTGGATTAAAATCGGAAGTGATGAACCAAGGAGTCCGCTAGCTGAGTTGGTAAAGCGCTGTGTATGAACCAAAGGTCCAGGGTTCGATCCCCGGCACCCCCAAATCCGTCTACCCTTTTTAATGTGCGAAGATGAAGGCTGCTGCTTAGCCGGCTTCCCTAGCCGTTCACCGAGCCGCGAATCCACCAAGCCGTCTGCCGAGCCGAGGCCGCACACCGCTGCCGTAAACCGCCGAGCCGTATACTCCGAGCCGCAAGCCGCCGACCATAAACTCCGGCGACCGTAAACACGTTTACGGCCGTAAACACGTTTACGGCCGTAAACTCCGGGAAACCCTAGCCGCCGCCGCCGACCGTAAACCCTTCAAAGACCATAAACTCTACGCAGATTACGTTTTCACCTCTTTTTGCTCCAAAACTCGATCAAAAACTCGTTTTTATCAAAAACGCGAAGAACAACCCCCCCTAATTTTCAGAGATCTATCCAAAAATCAAAGCAAGAATCTTCCAAAATAAGATCAAATCGGCTCCAGATCTGACAAAGATGAGTGATACAATCCAAGCTCTGATACCACTTGTAAGTCCCTAATCTGCTTGTGTATCAATCAGATCCGTTTGATGGTGCGGAATCCCAATCAAACGGATGATGTCAGATCAAATAGAAGAGAAGGAGAAGAAGAATATGATGAATCTTGTATGTATTGATATGAATGAAGATCCGGATACAAGATTCACACACACTTACACACACTCTCTTTTCTCTCTCTTTTTCTCTCTCTAGAACACCTTGGATTTCACACACTTAAGCTCCTCTATTCTATGGGTTCACCTTCACATGCACTCCTCACCCTATATATAGATAGATATATATATATATATATAATAATATATATATATATTATATATATATAATATATATATATAATATATATATATATATATATATATAGATATATATATATATGACCTAAGGCCAAGCCCCCAAATACAACTAATCCAATGCTCGGTCCAAGCTACAATTAATCCTATACTATTTTTGGCCCAAATAATAAAAACAATAAATGCTTAGAAAAGCAAAGTATAAACCATATTTTTGACCCAACACTTTTTTACCCACTTTTCTACTTAACCCTAGGTTTTAATCAAAACTCTAGTCCTATGATTTTGCAAATCACAAGATCATAAGATTCAAATTCAATTAAGAAATATAGTCATTCTAACCTAATCAAATTCAGCAATAAGCAGATAAAAAGCAGTTATCAAAAGTACTTGAGGTTCTTTAATAAGCAAAAGTCAACAAATAACCAAATAACTAAATCCTAACTATGAAATCAACCATGTTTAGTCAACTCATCCTAGCTAAACGAAAGTCATTAGTGTTTAGCTCATGATTTCTGCAAACAAAGTCATAAAATCGAGATTCAAAAGTAAAGACATAGCTATTCCTAATGAAAAATCGAAAAGTAGAGTTTAGTTGCCTTTGATCTCCTCCTTCTAATGATTGTGATTAAATTCCTTGCTTCCAATGCTTAATTCCAGTGCCTTTGCCTCAAAAAGCTTCGAATTCTCTAGAGCCAAAAGTTCCCATTCGGAGGTTTATGTGAGATATTTATACTTTTCCCAAAAGCAGGGCACCACGTCGTGGTGGGACCACCACGTCGTGGTGATTGTGTTTATCCCGTAATCTCCAAGTCACCGAATCTGATCGGGAATCTTCAAAACGTCACGTCATGGCAGGATCACCGCGACGTGTTGGTGTATTTTTCTTCATTTTATTGCTTTGGTTCAATCTTCCATCTTCTAGCTTCCTTAATCCAGCTTCCAACTTCCTTTTTGCTCCAAACAAGTCTTTTAGTCCCTACAACACATTTCATAGCAAATTAAGTATCTTTTGTTCTATTAAGGGCATAAAAGTAATTAAAATATTAATGTATATTGTATAAATATGTGTATAAATATGCACATATCATTCATCCAAGAGCCCCTATCTTCCACCCTAAATCCTCTGATTTTGTTTTCGATCTGAGAACACAAATCGATTTTGATATTTGTTTAGAGATATGAGAATGGAGGGATAGCAAAAGAGAAGTGGCTGCCTTTTTGTTCCAGTGTGTGTGTGTGTGTGTTTTTTTGAGGAAGATGATGGGTGTGTGTCTTGGGGAAGAAGATAGGGGTGGTGGTGATATTTTGTCTCGTAAGAGAGAGAGAGAGAGAGAGAGAGAGAGAGAGAGAGGAATTTTTTATTTTTCTTTTAGTCATAAAAATATTTAAATAAATAAATAAAGTGAAAAAGCAAAAAAACAAGGGTAAAATCGTCATTACAAAAAAGTATAAAGTAAATTGGACCAAACTCGCAACAAAATAAAAACTTTGGACCTGTGGTGATAGTCCAAACCTTTTTAGACCAAAGTGACAATTTTCAACAAACCACGACATGTTTAGTCAACTTAAAAGTGTTTCTTTTTATCGACAAGTTCAATATAACTGGATTTAATCTATTGAATATGAAGCAGTCATGTATCCTAAATGAAAATGTTGCAATACAAATAGAAAACGTATTTAATTAGTTTATGGGTACATGATAATCATCCATCACCACTAATCTCAGTATCACCATTATGATTCATTCCTTCTATAGTCAAGGTAATGTTCCCATGCTGCGTTCTTGATGCTATTCCTATGTGTCCATCACTTTATTCTATCATTTGACTTCAATTCTAAGTTCTAACAACTTAATATGCATTGTACGTTTATTTTGCATCTTTATATATAAGTTATATTGACAAGTGGCATAGCGGATCCAGCGACGATGGTCGGGTTAAGCTCCAAATATCTAGCTCGCTGTTGCATGCTGCTACGTTCCGCCTAGCTGATACATCTTGTTCATCCTTATCAGCCGAAAAACCCAACTTCTCATTGGATTCTGATCCATAGCAAGAATACAACTGTTTTGATTCCTCCATTTGGCCATTGAGCTGGGAAGCCACAAACTTGTCAAGATCCGCCCAGTTACTGATACACTCATGATCCTCCGTCATTTTAGTATGAATGTTCCTTGAATGTTCCGCTTCCGCTAGTAAGTCGCTCATGGAATCATAGGTCTTGAAACTCGATCCTTGATCGAAGGTGGCTGAGCTTTCAGGAGGGGATGTGGTTAGCTGGGTGGAACTAGCGAGCCTAGGGAGGTGGAGGAACATGGGGTTCACGAATTGGGTGGTGGTGAAGTTTTCGATTTCTTGTTTGCAAGACCTACTGTCCATGTACACAAGTAATTGCTCAAGAACGTCATCTTTGTTTAACAGTTGTAACTGTGCTCTGGTATCCATAGAATCAGGTAACGATCTGTGAGGACTCTCGAGGGATTTATGGTAATTTTTTTTCTTGAAGACACGGCATACCACCCACCCTTCTTCGTGAGCATAATCAGACATGTTTGAAGCCTGAACCAAATCCAGATTTTCGAATACAAATTAATGCTTCTTGATCATAATTCATAAGGACACACATGTGTATGTAACCATCAAATTATTGCTAAAAAGATGCTATAGTGCTCTTGGTAATGCTTCATAAAACAATGACAGTGCTCCTACCCAACTAACAGTTACTAGTGACCAGAAGAACAAAGCAAACATCATGTATTATGCTCTAAAGTCAAAAAACTTACGCTGGAATCTTGCGTAGTAATGATATTGTCGTCAAGCCTGTATTCATGCATAATATAATCAGATTTCTGGCCATGAGGAGCTCTCCCTTTGTAAAACACAAGTGTCTTCCTCATACCGATTCTTCTAAGGCTACTGTGTACGACTTTATCTCGTCCGGTGGCTTTCCAGAAACCAGCTGCAGTGGCACGATTTGTTCGGGTCCCTGTCGGATATTTCTTGTCTTTGTGACTAAAAAAGTACCAATCATTTTGGGGGGTGGAGCCTATACTGCACTTGTCTACAACACAAACAAAAAGCTTAAATTTTTTGTTTTCAAAGAAAAAAAACTATTGATGAATGAATAAATGAAATGTACATATACCTTGGATGTCCCAGGGTTCAAGCTTATTAAGATCAACCTCTCGAATAACATCAAGATCAATCTTTTCATAAGCAACTTTCTTCCTCAGGTAGTAATGAAGAAGTTCTTCTTCTGTAGGGTGGAACCGAAACCCGGGAGGCACTTTCGAGTGACCATTGACGTTCACAGATAAATCCATTTCTTCTTTTGACATAGATATGTGATTGACGAACTTCAAGGAGCATATGATATGTGCGTAAGTTTGGTTGTAAGGACTTAGATTTATACATGGACAAAAGGTTTCAAAAAAGGAATCCATGAAAAGTTATGGGAAAATGGCCATCTCAACCACCTTTTTAGACCAAGTATTTTCGTTCATACCCGTAGACAACGACTGGCTTTGATATATGGGTTCTGTGAGTACAGTTTCACTTGCTAGAAAGAGAGAATTAAAAAGTTACAAGAATACAAGAGATCCCAGTAGGGTCGCTCTCTAGTTCGAAAACAACAAACCACCTAAGCACAACAACAACAATACACCACATAATTAAAAACAATAATTGTTGTTTATGTTGGAAAAAATCGGGTCCCAGTAGGGTGGGGTATGTTGGAATGTGAGCAGGAGACTTGCTTCCATCTTGACAACGACCTTCGACCTTAAAATCTCTCAGAAAACAACAGCTCAAACAACCGTGTGTGTGTGTATGAGAGAGAGAGAGAGAGAGAGAGAGAGAGAGAGAGAGAGCGCTACATATATGGGTGTGTATAACTGTGTGTATATGGTGACAAATTTCAAATAATCAATGTGCAAGGATAAGATATAATTACGTTGAAGATGATGATGGATTGATGGGAGGTTGAAAATTTTTCCATCTTTCATCATTCCGGTACCAACTACGAACGACGGCAGGTCATTACCAAACTTTAGTGCCTCGTTCGCAATTTCTACATTTCACGTTTCATTTGCAATCTTTCTTTTACTATTAGTGAAAGTCGAAGTAAATAAGTTTTATCAACAATTAATTAGCTACTTTAAGTAAAGAGAAAATTACAAAAATAGCCTAAAAAACTAATTTACCTTGCAAATTTAGCCAAAAAAATAACAATTACAAAAATAGCCACTGATTTCGCAAATGGGAATGGTCCATCTGCGAATTTACCATTCAATCTGCGAATGTACAAGTACCTAAAGCACAGATGTGCTTTAACCACTTGTACATTCGCAGATAGGGTATTTGTTTTTTTTTGTTTTTTTTGTGTACATATAAGGAAGAATCACGCTAAAATCGCAGATGGACAGTCCATCTGCGATTTCCTCTCCGTTTGATCTGCGATTTTATGGTATTTTTTTCATTTTTTTTTTAAACTTTGACTATTAAATCAATGGGTTTGATTATGAAATCAATGGGTTTGAATACGAAATAACCTTATTATATATAAACTTTTGTAGAAAATTATCATTTTACTTGTTATTTCTTTAGGAAATTTCTTAAAAACCTCTCTAAAAAAGATGAATATATGGTTGTTTGTAGAAAATTATATATAAACTTTTGTAAAAATTATCAGTTTACTTGTTATATATAAACTTGTTTTTTCATTTTTTTATATGTTTTGTTAAGTTAATGTAAAAAAAAATTGTCTATGATTAATTGTATTTGAATGATTTATTGTTTTATTTTTTATTGTAGATTGTGTGCGTATAGTTTTGATCCATATGTTTATACAAAATATAGTTTTTAATATAAGTTTAAAATTGAAATATAAGCGTAAGTAGAGAAAAAAAATTCCCTACAAAAATGTATATCGATAGAGTGACTATAAAAACTAAAAAATTAGAAAATAATAAATAAAAAACTTGTAGAAAAATAAAATATTTGAAAAAACATATATTTTATATTAAAAACTCAAAATAAATATACTTTTAAGAAATTTCCTAAAGAAATAACAAGTAAACTGATAATTTTCTACAAAAGTTTATATATAATAAGGTTATTTCATAGTCAAACTCATTGATTTCATAGTCAAAATTTAAAAAAAAAAATGAAAAAATACCATAATATCGCAGATCAAACGGAGAGGAAATCGCAGATGGATACTGTCCATCTGCGATTTTAGCCTGATTCTTCCTTATATATACACAAAAAAAAATAAAAAAAAACAAAAACCCCATCTGCGAATGTACAAGTGGCTAAAGCACGTCTGTGCTTTAGCCACTTGTACATTCGCAGATGGGATGGGCAAATCGTAGATGGACCATTCCCATCTGCGATTTTGGTGGCTATATTTGCAACTTCAATTTTTTTTGGTTATTATCTACAAAGTAATTAGCGTTTTTGGCTAAATTTGCAATTTTCTTTTTAAGTAAATACATTTTATTATTAATTAAACTGTCACTTAATTAATACGTTTTATTATCAACTTAACAACAGCCGTTCTAACCAATCGTTAAAAAAAAAAATAAAAAAAAAAAGCTACTAATGAATTTATTTGCTAAAAAGAAAAATTGTAATACTGTTGGGAACGGATTTAATTAGCTATTAACGATGATTGACAGTTTAACTTTAATTGAAAGTGATTTTTTCGTATTATTTGAAAAGATACGTATTTTATGATAACAATTGAAAAGGCAAACAAAGATATTTGATTCTTTTTTCCATTGTTCTAAATAACGTAAGGCGTCACTTGGTGACAATATCTAGCCTCAAGCATTTTTGAGCCGTGGCGAGTCATGTCGTTTGTAAAGCGTGACTTAAGGCGGCAATTTTGTATATAATTGATAATTTTATATATATTTTCTATTATTATTCATTTTTATATACATATTTGTCTTAAGGCGGCATTTTGTCAAAGCTTGGCGGCAAGTACAAGCCTTGGAGCCATGACGCGCCATGTCGAAGCCATGACGAGCTTTTTAGAACATTGTTTTTTTCCCATAGATCCAAAACATAAGTACCATATACGAACGGATTTATAGGAACGTTCAATCGATGATATTTTTTATTGCGAGAACATTTGAGAACAATTTATACTACACAATTTTTTTAAATTAAAATCATCAAATAATATTAATATAAATAAATATAATATATATAGATATATATATAGATATATATATATATATATATATATTATAATATATATATCTATATATATATATATATATATATATAAAGTAAAATAAATTAAAAAACCCATAGCCAACACCACTCATCACCCAAACAACACCCACCACCACCACCCATCACTGCCACCTACCTCCACCACCCATCACCACCACCCACGAAAACCACCATCCACCACCATCACCGCCAACCACGACCACCATCCACCACCACCACCACCCATCACCATCGACCACCACCACCCACTACCACCACCCGTCACCATCATCCCCGCCCACCACCCACCACAATCACCACCACCCGCCACAACCACCAGCTACCACCACCCGCCTCCACCACACATCACACACCACCACCCATCACCACCGACCACTACCACCTGCCACCATCACCCTCACCCACGACCCACCAAAACCACGACCCACCACTACCACCACCACGACCCACCACCCACCCAAACACCACCCACCCACCCACCACACATCACCACCACCCGCCACTACCACCAACCACCATGCACCACAACCACCAACCTCCACCACCCATCACCACCACCCGCCTCCGCCACCTATCACTACCACCCACCACCAACCCCACCCATCCACCCCACCACCTACCACCACCACCCGCCTCCACCACTCATCACCGCCACTCGCCACAACCATCCCCACCCACCGCCCACCAAGACTACCACCACCTACCACCGACCACCACTACCAACACCCATCACCACCACCCACCTATACCACACATCACTACAACCCACCACCACCACCCCACCCATAACCCACCAAAACCACCAAACACCACCCGTCACCACCACCCCACCAACACTCACCCACCACCACCACCTATCACCACCACCCGTCTCCACCAACCATCACCACCACCTGTCACCACCACTCACCACCCACTATAATCACCACCCACCACCCTACATGTCACCCCTACCATCCTTCACCACCACCACCACCACCTACCACCTACCACCACCAAACATCACCACACACCACCACCACCCGTCATTATGTATATATAACCACATGTGATTATGTATATCTAATCACATATGATTTATATGGGCAATAATCTTTTTTGTCCATATAAATCATATATGATTAGATACATATAATCACATGTGATTAGATATATTTAATGACATATGATTAAAGTTGAAAAAAAACAATAATTGAATCGAGAACATTATAATGAATATTGTTTGCATAAATTATATGTGATTAGATATATATAATCACATGTGATTATATGTATTTAATCAAATATGATTTACGTGGAAAATATTTATTTTCGCGGTTTCAATTCAATAATTGGACTCGTGTATTTAATCACATGTGATTATATGTAATTAATCACATATGAGTTATTAGGACAAGATTTGTTTTCGTATCCTTGATTTAATAGTTGTTATCGTGTATATAATCACATGTGATTATATATATCTACTCATATATGATTGATATAGACAAGATTCTTTTTTTTTCTTCATATAAATCATATGTTATTAGATACATATAATCGCATGTATTAAATGTATTTAATCATATATAATTAAAGTGGACAAATAATAATTATTTAATCACATAAACCATATATGATTTATGTGGATAATATTTAATCACATAAATAATATATTATTATATGTATTTAATAACATAAATCACGTGTGATTAAATACATATAATCACTTGTGATTTTATGTATCTAATCACATATTATTTATATACACAAGTGTAACGCCCCATTCCTGGTATGTAATTTAAATATTGAATTTCCTTTCTTAGGGTTACTCGGCGAGTCAGTAGCCCCGACTCGTCGAGGAGAAGCGGGAATGCACGTGGACTTAGTGGGGCGACTCGACGAGTCCATTCCCGACTCGGCGAGTCTGCCAGTCTGGATGAAACCCTAATTCTTAGGGTTTGTACCCTATTTAAACGTCCTTATAGCCCCAAACCAGCCTCCTTCACCTCCCAGAGACTTATTCCCGAAACCCTAGCCTCCTTGAAGTGTGTGTGAGTGATTTTTGCCCTTGTGAAGGAATCTTGGTGCATTGTTGAGCAAGAAGAAGAAGGAGAAGGTAGAAGAACTCAAGGAAGAAGAAGTAGATCCAGATTATACTCCTCTTTGGCCATCCTTTCTGGTAATAAAGCTTTCATCTTGGTTATTGTA